TGTGCAGTGTAGTGTTTTGTTTTAGTAGGGTTTTGCTTTTGGAGTTTTTTAAAAGGTACATGCTGCTGCGTGTTTATCCTGTAATTGTTATGATCCTGTGTAGGTGGAGAAGACACAAACCATGTCATAACCAAGTTAAGAAAAAATATACTTTAGCCTTAAAAGTGGCTTAAATCGTGGGGCCTGACTCTCCTCCTGCTAAAGCCCCCTTTTCAGCTACATTGGTGCACAGGGAGCTGAAACTGGCAGTGGGGAAGCTTAGGTTTGAAGTTAGTCGAAGGTTACCGACCGTCAGAGGGGTGAAATATTGGAACGGCCTTCCACGGGAAACGGTGGGGGCGAGGGACCTGTCTGGTTTTAAGATTAAATTAGATAAGTTTATGGAGGGAATGGTTTAATGGTAAAACATATTAGATGAGGAATACCGAGCAATAGCAGGTAAATAGTATAATGGCTAACAAGGGTCAGGCTGGAGACTCTTGCCTACATGCTCGGGGTCTTACTGATCGCCATATTTGGGGTCGGGAAGGAATTTTCCTCCAGGGCAGATTGGCTGAGGCCCTGGAGGTTTTTCGCCTTCCTCTGCAGCATGGGGCAGGGATAGCTAGCAGGAGGGTTCTCTGCCAATTGAAGTCACCAAGACACAGGGTTTGGGGACTTCATCAGCAGAGTCAAGGGAAGGGTAGGGACGGTTTTGTGGCCTGCAGCATGCAGGGGGTCAGACCAGATGATCATAATGGTCCCTTCTGACCTTAAAGTCTATGAGTCTAAAGCCCCCTGCTGTCAACGGAAAGTCTCACTGACTTCAGTTAGATGTAGATTGCATTCTTGTAATTTTTCTTGAGCCTTTGTGAACAATGAAAAGGCTCTTAACATTTCAAAAAATCTTTAAGCTACTCATTATTGCTTCAGTATCAAAGCCCTGGCATGTACGTGATATCATACACGGGTTTGAAGAGTGAGATACTCTAAGCCACAAATATGCAACACAGGAGCTAAGAGCAGGGTCCTAATATGTATATTCACTCTTAAGGGGCAGTGAGTTTCCAATCGAGTGGGGCTGTTGCCGGCTGGGCGGAGGCAGCCATTAAACAAACCGCTCCGGGGCTGGCTGGGCTGAGCCCCCGGGGGCTTTGCCGTGGCTGGAAGCGCGGTGCAGCCCCCAGGCAGGCAGCACGCAGGCGCCTGCCTCGCTCCTGCGGGGGAGGGGCCGCAGGACTCAAGGCGCGTGTGTGCGCCTTTAACAGCCCGGGCGGGGGGCGAGAAGAGGCGATTGCCGTAAAGCATAAAGGCAGCTGTCGCAAAAGTCGCAAACCCACCCCAACGCCTTCAGGCACACATCTGTCCGGTGAACGGAGGCTGAGGCGTGGCTGCCCCCTCCCCTGCGTCTGGCCGGGCTGAAGTGCGCCCAGCGCCCTTACGGGGGGAGGGGTGGACGCGGACGCCGCCATGTTGGCCGCCGCCTGGCTGAGCAGGTGCTCCTGGGGGCTCCTGAAAGGCGCGAGCCGGCCCCTGGGGGGCAGCGGCGCGAGGCCGCTCGCGAGCCGGTCCCGGGCCGTATTGGCAAACCGGGAAGTGGGCGGGCTCAGCCGCCGCGGCTTCTGCCTCGCGCTGGGCTCCTCCCCGCTGAGCGGCCTCGCGCCGCGGGCGCCCTCCTCCCCCTCCCCCTGCGGCGCGAGGCGGGAGCCGCGGCGGCTGCTGTTGCTGCTGCGCGCGCCCTCCCCGGCCCCGCTCTCCCCGGAGCGGCTCGCGAGCGGCTCCCCGCGCCCCGCCGGCAGGGACAGCCCCCCGCCGAGGCGGCGCAGCGACGGCAAGGCCGGCCCGCGGGGGGATGCGGCGCGGAGGGGCCGAGGAGCCGCCAGCGGGTACTCGGAGCTGGTACGTGCTTGAGAAGCAGATGCTGCCGGTCCCGGGGTCACCACTCCTCTCCCCCCGCCCCCCCGCAGTCCGGTGGTGTTGCTAACACTGCCCCGGAGGAACTCGTCAGGGGCCTGCTAGTAACTGTCCCTGTTGTACCACTCTAGGATCGTGTCCGCCCTCTGCTCCTCACTCAAGATCAAATCCTAGTGAAGACGTGAGTTGTCACAACAGTGAGCAGGTGGAGTGTAAAAACGGAGCTTCCCCCATCTCTGCCTGCTAAGTCGCATGAAAACTACAAACTGCCCTGTCTTTACTAGGATTTCACATCCAATTCGTTAACTTGAGTTGAGAGCACCCCCTTTCCCCTAGTGAACTCATAACTTGCGGGTCCAGCTGTAGGGAATTCCTGAGCAGCCAGAGGTTTGAGTGATCTAAGGTGAGGTTTATTAAGAATTTAGCAAAATGAGATTCATACAAAAGAATCCGTTTGCATAAGGTACCTAATCTTCAGTTCTGCCAAAGCCCATCTAGACAGGTTCACTGAGGATGCAGTTACATTGACTAATGTATTCTCTGGAAATGTAAGAGATTTCCTTTTCCCTTTCCAGTAGGCCATACTTGCTAGCCTTTTATTTCAAGTCTCCTATGCAATTTTTTTCCTTCCTTGACTTCACACACATTAAATTTTCCAGGTTTCTTTGGTGCACTTGGTTTATTATCTTACCAGACACCCCGAACACAGTAGGTTCCCCCTATCTTTTACGCCACGTCTGTTCTATATCCATGATAGTTGTCTGTCCTGTGTTTTATATTTATGGCATAAACAGTTTTGGTTCCTCTCTTTCATAGTCCATATTTACAGCTTAATCAGTTCCTTTGCAGATGCATCCATTACGGTATTTATTTATTTTTTTGCATACATTTCAATATTGTCTCAAAAATTCCCCATTCCTTGGGCAGCTGTTCTTTGCTCACCTGTGCTTAGTTTTGCACGCTAAAACATGGTTTCATGTTAACATGGTTTCATGTTAACATGGTTTCATGTTAACATGAAACCAACTCAGTCTACCTTTAAAGATACAAAGCTTGTTTAATTCTGCTAATTCATTAATATTAATTTATATGTGATGGGGAGTTATAGTTTAAAACTAAACTGTCACAACACTTGGAGCTAATGACAGCTCAGTTTTATCGAATAAAAAAATTCTAATAACGTGCGTTATACATTTTTTTCCCTAGCAAACTTACCAAGATGCATTTCACATGTTTTAATATAAATCGTTTTTTTATTATTTAAAAAAAAAGGTTGCTCATGGGTGGTCAAGTATCAGAATAAAATGGCACGTGGTATTGGAGCTGTTCAAGTTCCCCTTCTTGTCTTGGTTATAGGTTTAGGTCTGGTCAAGAGAGGTTTGAGGTTTATTTCCCAGTATTTCAAGGCATTCTGGCAATCCAGGTTTCACTCAAATATGTATTTACCTTGAATATTCAAATCACATGCAAGGCTTGACTGATTTCTTTTTTTAACATTTTCTTATTTTCCAGTATGAAAACCCATGGACAATCCCAAATATACTTTCTCTGGCAAGAATTGGTTTGGCTCCAGTTTTGGGTTATTTGATTGTAGAAGAAAATTTCAACATTGCATTGGGCGTTTTTGCTTTGGCTGGGATAACAGACTTGGTATGTTGCATAACAGAGTTTTGAAATTTATTTTGTTGTTTTTTAATTTAAAATCACACTTACTGGATCATGTATAAACAGTTTGCTAATTCTCTTAAAATTTAAGTCAGTATTTTGAAATGAGATCAGCTAGTATACAAATTCTTTTGTAGAAATGCCTGAGAAAGCCATGATGACAAGATGGCCAGATTCTGCCACTCATTAAGGCTGTTTTGTGCTGCTCTGTTGGTGCAAAACAGCCTTAAAGATTCCCTAAACAGGTAACTGAGAATCCCCCAGTGAGTTGTGTATAAACTGTATTTACGCATGCAACTGGCTGCTTGCAAATGCAGATTAAGAATTTCTGCATCCAGAAGAGGTAATTGTGTATGCAGATTAAATACGTTTCAACAGTGCCACGCGAACGCGTTTCCTTGCTTTCAGGTGACATTGTAAACAAGAAGCGGGCAGTGGTATCTCCTGCAAATGTAAATAAACTTTTGTCTGAGTGACTGGCTGAACAAGAAGTAGGACTGAGTGGACTTGTAGGCTCTAAAGTGTTATTTTTTAATGCAGGTTTTTTTCTTAAATAATTCTACATTTGTAAGTTCAACTTTCATGATAAAGAGATTGCACTACAATACTTGTATTAGGTGAATTGAAAAATACTATTTCTTGTTTTTTACAGTGCAGATATTTGTAATTAAAAATAAAGTGAGCACTGTACACTTTGTATTCTGTGTTGTAATTGAAATCAATACATTTGAAAATGTAGAAAAACATCCAAAATATTTAAATGGTATTCTATTATTGTTTAACAGCGTGATTAATCACGATTCATTTTTTTAAATCACTTTACAGCCCTTCTGATAATACTTTATAACTTTTTAATTACCTACATTATATTCATTTTGCTTATCACATATCCTGGTAACCGTAGTTGATGCTGTTTTTTTTTCTAGCTATCAAACATTCACATATTAAACTTGTATTTATAGTTGGATGGCTTTATTGCACGAAACTGGTCCAGTCAGAAATCTGCTTTGGGAAGTGCCCTTGACCCGCTAGCTGATAAAATTCTTATCAGTGTCCTGTATGTCAGCCTCACTTGTGCAAGTCTTATTCCAGGTAAGATCATGTTAAATTCATGTATTTTTATTTTTTTCATAAAATAGTACTAAATAGTATGGAGAAGTGGACTTAATGCAGGAAGACACTTCTTATGTTGTCAAGGAGGAAAACTAGTTTTAGCTTACAACAGTTTTGTCTATTGGGTTTTACTGTTGGCTATTTAAAAGAAAGTTTAAAGAACTTTATTTAAATATTAAATCATAAAATTCTGACTTACTTTTAATTCTGTTTTGCTGTTGAGCACCTGAACAGTCTCTGTCACTAGGGTCAGCTTCAGCAGTAGTTTGCTCTGTTTTTAACAAAGAATAATTTTATTGCACTTTCCACTCATAAAACTCACATTTTAAAAGAAAACATACGTCATACACAACTACATCAAACCACTGTTCTGAGACTGATATTTCTCTCTTTATCAATCTCTGTGCTAGACTCCAGTTTTCCAATCCGAAATGGGATGATTGGGGCCACCCTTGCCAGTTAATTCAGATTTGTCTTGGCTGCTCTGGAGTTCATGCTTACTGGCAGTTATTGAAAATAGATGATGATTCTGGCAGGAGGGTGTTTTTCTCTCCACAGACAACAGTGGAACCAATTCACCTCTGCCATCTGCATGGGTCTGACTGTGCAGGCAAGGTGCTGGTTGCAGGAAGTGCTGCAGGATAATGTAATGCTCTTCTGATACCATTAGATGTTGCCACTGAATGCTAAATCATACATATTTTGCCTCCTACCCTTCCCCCTCAAATTTGAATTGCTTTTTATTTAGATGGAAAAGACGAATAGTTTGTATTTTCTTTGTGTTAATGGGGATTGCACATGTGAACATGTAGTAGTGGGGTATCGTGGTGGACTTTGTCTATCTACAGCTAAAAACCTGTTTAAATCACATTTTTCAAATCCAGACAATTTCTTCTATATCTATATTTTGTTGATTTGTTTTTCAGTTCCACTGACTACTTTGATCATTTTGAGGGACATAGTGCTAATTGGTGCTGTTTTTTATGTGCGATACAAAACACTATCCCCACCGGTAAGTGTTTGGCTTTAAAACAAATTGTGGATGGACATGAAATCAAATAGGTTTGGACTTTGAATAGGTTATCTGTTAGGATGTGTATATAGCAGGGGTAGGAAGCAGCAATTACTTAACAAACATATTGGCCAAAGCTTTGTTATGCAGCTTGATGCAGATCCAAAACTTGGGGGGAAATAGTGAAGATTTACCTGGCAAGAGAACAACAACATTGCATATGAGACTATGAAATTTAGGAGACCATAAACTAATATTTTACAAAATGAAATCCAGCAATTATATCAGGGCACAAAAGCAAGGTTCCATCACTTCACTAGTTATTAAGTAACCCTTTTATTGTCTGTATTGCCACTTGTACTGTTATATTTCAGTTTAATGTCTTACATACTTTTTTTAAATGTCAGTTTGTCAAAGAATAGATTAGTGTAACTGTTTCTCCAGTGCTGTGAGTGATTTTCTGTAGTGTGTTCTTTGTGGAGATTTGTTTCAAACACACACATTAAACATAAATAATCTTTATCTTTCTTTCACAGAGAACACTTAGTAGATATTTCAATCCCTGTTATGCCACTGCCCAGTTAAAACCAACTTTCATCAGCAAGGTAAAGGTGATCATTTATTAGTTTCTAAATTACTGTTTCTTCAGCATCCAGGAGCTTTCACCATTCTGAAGCACTCTTAATTTTCTGACTGCTGTCTTCGGCAGCACTTAATTAGGGCTACCATACGTCTGGCAGTTAGGGTGGGGGGTTCTCAGGAGGGGGCAGTCAGGGGACAAGAAGCAGTGAGGCTTAGATAGGGAGTGGGGTCCTAGGGGGCAGTT